CCCCAAAACCCCAAAACCCCATAATCAAAAATTAAAAAAAGGATAGATAGAATAAATTAAAGCAGTATTATAAAATGATTCATTAATTTATTGCGAAAAAAACTGAGAAAACGATTTTTTAATATCTTGAATAGAGATAAATCTAAAATTATTAAAGAATAAATACTAATGGGCATCAATTAGTCAAAAGAAGATTTCAAGTACTCCTGCTATAATCCAAACTAACCTTTTAAGCCTCTTACTTCTACTAAAGAAATAATGTAAGAATTATTAGTTTGTTCAACTTAATATAAGACACATCGAAAATAAGGATAATCCTGATTAATTTTAAAGTGAGCCAGTTAAAGGACATACTACAATATGGTAGTATTTTTAGAGATCAGTAAAATTGCATAAAAATTCTAACTATCTTGGGAGATTGAAGCCCGAGGAAAAATCTATTTCAATGCACTATGAATGGAAAACATTTGGATAAGTAAATGAGGACGTTTATAATCTCATTAAAGGGTTTTAAAAGCATCAGATTTGTGATGGATCTATCAAGTCTCCTGAAGGATTCACATTCATTGGAATATACTCTGAAAACAGATTTGATTGGATTATCACTGAGCTTGCTGCTATTAGAATGAATCTAGTGATCATTCCTGTATTCTATAGATATTTTTCAGCTAGCATTGAGCAAATTATTAACTCAACCTAACTGGACACAATTTGCGTATCTAGCCATACTATCTAAACTATCATTGATCTCTAATTAGAGGGCAGAATTCCATCTTTATAAACATTAATTTCATTTGATGACCCAACATTTGAATAATTCTAACAGCTTCTTGAGACTGGTTTGAGTCTCTATACCTTCAATAAATTGATCTTAGATGGTATGGATTAAGCTGACAGGATTCAAGAAATTCCAGAGCCCACAAAAGATTCAGTTTTTATTATTGCTTACACATCTGGTACAACGGGAGAACCCAAAGGAGCCATATTAACACATTAAAATATAATTTGTGGGAATTCTAAACCTGAATTCTACGGCTTTGATTTTTCTCACGAAGACGTAAACCTCTCGTATGTGCCTTTATCTCACATTTATGAATAGATACTTTTAGTAAGTAATCTAATTCATGGATACTCAACTGGTTTCTCAAGTGGAAATGTCTCTAAGCTTATGTTAGATATTTAGAAGCTGTAACCTACAATATTTGGATCTTTTCCAACTTTTTACAACAACTTCTATAAAACTAATCTAGCTAAGTTAAACATAAAAAGTAATGAAGTAAAATATATGTCAAATGAAAAAAAATAAATAATCAAAAACTAATTTGGCGGTAGGATAAGATGCTTTATTTCAGGAGGTGCTCCCCTCTCCTAAGAAGTATTTGATTTTCTTTAAACATGCTTTGAATGTCCCGTTTTCGAGGCCTATGGAATTACTGAACTTGCAGGTGCATTATGCTCAACTGTTTCTTTTGAAACTTAAGCAGGGCTCTCAGGAGGCCCATTACCTTGTTTAAAGGTCAAAATATCAGATATAAAAGAACTGAATTATATGTCAACTGATGATCCCCCTAGAGGAGAATTAAGGGTTAAAGGAGATTCTGTCTTTAAGGCATACTTTAGAAATGAAAAACTGAGCAAAGAAGCATTCGATGAGGATGGATGGTTCAGAACAGGAGATGTTGTGTCTTATCTTCCAAATGGGTCTATCAAAGTTATAGACAGAGTTAAAAATATCTGCAAGACTCAAAAAGGATTCTATGTGGCACCTAACTATTTAGAAGCAATCTATTCTTAATCCTAGCTAATTAAACAAATATTTGTTTCAGTGTAGCCGCATTATGAAGCAGTAGTTGCTATTATCAATCCAGATAGAGATGCGCTCTTGAAAAAAGCTGAAGAAATGGGGATAAATGATGATATTTAGTATCAGCCAGAAGACGTTATATATAGGGACTAAGCAATAAGGGAATTAATAGTTAATGAGTTGAAATAAAAAGCAGATCAGTTTGGCTTTTAAGATTACGAAAGAATTGAAAACAGATTCCTATTAATAAGTTAGGAATTCCACGAGTTAGGTATAATGAATACTTCAATGAAGATGATGAGGCACTAGGCTGAAGTTAAACTAAAGCCTATGTTAGACAAGATATTTAAGCATTATGTTGATTAGTGATTGAAAGAAGTAAAAAAGCTAAGGTTATTATATGCATTTTGCTTTTGATTTTTAAAATTTAAAATCAGAAAATCAAGCAAAAATTGAGATTAGTGGGGTTTTGGGGTTTTGGGGTTTTGGGG